AATTGTGCGGATCCCATCACTATAGTTATATAGTAAATACCATACAAATTGACCGATCAAAATCAGTTTCTTATAAGGAATATTATGCCTTTGTGAAGGATCTATAATACCGTTAAGCTAAAGTTTTTTCTTGTGTTTTGTTTTCACAATCAAATATATTTTGTTTTTAGTTTTAATTAGTTTTTCAAATGAACTCAACATTAGAAGGCTAAAAAAAAAACTACTGGTTTTCGAATGACATGGCGTATGAGTAATTTTAAAAAATAATAAAGTATATACTAACATATTGAATACTTCAGATCTGTCCTCGGGTACAGAGTTATTATGGTATTGTAATATCCTATCACTCATTGCAAAATAAATTAAATTAAATTAACTGTCGAAAGCTCTTTTATTGGAGTTAAGAAATCAGAAGGACTATAGCAACAAGCACATTCGGCTATTGATTATAATTAGAACTAGTTGAAAGTATGTATTTTAGCCAATTTACTGATGTAATTATAACAACKTACTGCCACAAATTGCACAACTCTCACAACTCAAATGTCTTGCAACATAGTATTTTTTCTTTGTCAAARCTGCTGCAGCGCGATTCAATGTCAGCATTAATATTAGCTTAACTTTTTTCAAAACTTAAAATACATATATATTTAATTCACATATATGTATTACAATGCATATACTATAAATCAAAAATAGTGCATTGCACGTTGAAATCGGAGAGCGCAGTTGTACATAATAAAATGGAATAATCCAATGTCAGCATTTTTTTTACAAAAAACTTGCAACTGTGCACAAATAAGTACCTAGTACAGAAAAAAAAATTAAATTGATTAATTTTGGCAAAAAATCGTTGATTGAGAAAGAATTCATTGCCAATTCATCAGCGCATAAAAAGCTGCAGTTTAACGTGATGGAACATGTATTGCAGATATTATAGAATATTATGTATTCATAAAATATGAGTGAGCTAACCTGTAAGTAAAAATGGAATAGTTTTTCTTTGGCAAAACTTTAAGTCGAAATAAAGCGGTGGAAAAGGAGTGGGAAAAATATTATTTTAAGTTAATTATTTTKAACCAATTTTATTTGAAATCTTGTATATTAAATTTTGTTAATAATAAAGTATGAYTAAATAAATTAGGAAGCGGTACAAAATGAGCAATGGGCCACTAGTTTTAGTTAAAATATTATATCTAAACAATGCTCGATAAACTTCTATCGAATTCTCTGATCGCCATTCATTTGGGAGTGGCCAGAAACGATTCATTTACATATGACTCAAGCAGCTCACGACTTACGGTCCTTGACCAAGTATCCTCTGGGTAGCCTAAGAACATCCGTTTGAAGGCGAGCTAAAGTGAGAAGGCAAAACATTCCCTGCATAGGGTTGTGCGCGCGGTGGGACCCGTCATGTTAAAAAACCACCCCAATGAAAACGCAACAACAGCATCGGATGAGAGACCACAATTTTGATGACGACCATGGCAAACGAAATAAGGACTACGAATTAAGGGCATGCACCTGGAATGTCCGGTATAGCATGCAAAAGCATGCCCAACGATTGGCATTTAAGTGTGCTATGCCCAATCCTCAAGAAAGCAGACCCCACAATCTGTGATAAGCCTCCTCAACATTGCATATAAGGTTCTATCRAGCGTATTKTGKGAAAGATTAAAGCCCACCGTCAACAAACTGATTGGACCTTATCAGTKTRGCTTCAGMCCTGGAAAATCAACAACCGWCCAGATATTCACCATGCGCCAAATCTTGGAAAAGACCCGTGAAAGGAGAATCGACACACACCACCTCTTCGTCGATTTCAAAGCTGCTTTCGACAGCACGAAAAGGAGCTGCCTTTATGCCGCGTTATCTGAATTTGGTATCCCTGCAAAACTTACACGGCTGTCTAAGCTGACGTTGACCAGCACCAAAAGCTCCGTCARAATCGGGAAGGACCTCTCCGAGACGTTCGATACCAAACGAGGTTTCAGACAAAGCGATTCCTTATCGTGCGACTTTTTCAACCTGCTTCTGGAGAAAATAATTCGAGCTGCAGAACTRAATAGAGAAGGGTACCATCTTTTATAAGAGTGTACAGCTGCTGAAATATCTCCTGTCATCAAACAAACAGTCGTCGCACTCGCGACTTGGCACCCACGTCACTGTTGACAGTCATAGCTTTGAAATTGTAGATAATTTCATCTATCTTGGAACCAGCGTAAACACCACCAACAATGTCAGCCTAGAAATTCAACGCAGGATAACTYTTGCCAACAGGTGCTGCTTCGGACTGAGTAGGCAATTGAGAAGCAAAGTCCTCTCTCGACAAACAAAAACCAAACTCTATAAGTCACTCATAATTCTCGTCCTACTATATGGTGCAGAGACTTGGACGATGCCAACAACGGATGAGTCGACGTTGCGAGTTTTCAAGAGAAAAGTTCTGCGAAAGATGTATGGTCCTTTGCGCGTTGGCCACGCGAATATCGCATCCGATGGAACGATGAGCTGTCCGAGATATACGACGACATTGACATAGTTCAGCGAATTAAAAGACAGCGGCTACGCTGGCTAGGTCATGTTGTCCGGATGGACGAAAACACTCCAGCTCTGAAAGTATTCGACGCAGTACCCGCCGGGGGAMGCAGAGGAAGAGGAAGACCTCCACTCCGTTGGAAGGACCAAGTGGAGAAGGACCAGGCTTCACTTTTAATATATAATTGGCGCCACGTACCGAAAAGAAGAACGACTGGCGCGCGGTTGTCAACTCGGCTGTAACCGCGTAAGAGGTGACTACGCCAATCAAGAAGAAGAAGAACATTAGAACGCAAAATCKACTGAACCGATCCTTTCGAAAATTTGAACATTACTTCTTCGCATAAATTAATAATCAATTTTTTTTCTATTTTGTATTAACAAATTAACCGCGACTTTTTTTTAACTAAATTCGCGCTTTTTRCTTCCAAAAAATAATAATTACTGCAAAAAGTAGAAAAACAACTCTTTCTGATTACTTCGAGAAATACATCACATGTAAAACGCATATCCATTTTTTTGTTTCAGATGATCCGGTAACGAGTTTTTTCAAGGAGAGTTTTTTTCTGGAGATTCACCGYCACAGGCTTATTTATTAATATTTTTCATTGAACATTTTCTCTAATATACTTCAAAAGTTGTACAATAATATGTCATTAAATTTAATAAAATTATATTACTCAAGTCGCCGCAACACAAAACTGCAAATATATCCTTTATTTTGCCTTTAAAACCTTAATCCCCCTTTTGTGCTACATTCACAGTTTTAGAGATTTCGATCTGAAACTKTGCACACGTCCTTTTCTTCCCAAATAGCTCCTCATTTGTCGGAGCTGCCAATATTGGAATTCTTGCAATATAGCTGCCACGCAAACTAATTACAATCAATATAAAAGGTTTTTCGACATTCTATTACTTAACTTTTATTCGAGTTGAAAGTTGTTTCTATTAAACAGTTATACTATGCTTTTTCAAATACACATTACTTTCTCACAATGTCTGGAAGTCACGGTTTGTTCAGAGCTTGCATCTTTACTTTAGAGTAATAAACGTATGTATATTTTTTTTACTGGATCGTTTATATATTTTCTAAACTTTTTCACTATATCACATATTCACAACGAATATAACAAAATATATTTTGATTATTTGCACACAACCTTCCCGACGATTATAATGGCATTCATTACGATAGAATATGCTTTTGGCATATTACAGATCGACACAAATCCTAAATGCAGCTTAAATATTTTGATAGCATAGCAGGTCCACAATACCGAGTCTTCCAATTAGGGTTATACGATTTCTAAGTTTTGAGCTTTTTTCATATACCTTGACCTGCAAGTTTTTCTCTGCACTTAGTAATGTTTGTAATTTCATCATGTAAAGATATATGCAGGAACGACGTTTACGAATTATTATATTGTTTTATCAAAATAATCGTTTTTCAATTGCAACTTTTCGTGCGCTTTTTCCATTATATGATCGTAATAATCATCCGGCTGCGCTCGCTATTCGTCGAATTGTTGAAAATTCCAAGCGCACATTTTCTACGCATAATGCTCAAGTACCGATRAGACAGAGAATCGCTTGAAGTAATGAAAATATTGCCGCCGTTCAGGCAAGTGTTTTTGAAGACCGCGATTTGTCGATAMCAAGACGTTCTCAAGAATTGGGATTGTCCCAAATCACAACCACGAATTTTAAGAAAGGATTTGGGCTTACGTCCATATAAGATGTTTTATCTTGGAGCAACTTGTAAATGATAACGATTTTTTAAAGAATGTTATCTTCCCCGATGAGGCTCTTCAGAAATGTGCGTTAAATAAACAAAACTGTCGAATCTGGTGCGCGAAAAATGCGTAAATTATTCATTAACAATCATTACATTCACCGAAATTGACAATTTGTTGTGGTTTTTGGTCTGGTGGAATCATAAGYCCGTGCATCTTTCGAAATGAAACTTGGGGCACCGTTACTATCTAAGGCCAGCGATATAGATCGATGATAACTAACTTTTTCTGGCCGTAATTGGAAAAATTTGACCTTGCCAATATCGGATTCCAACAAGACGGTGGAACGTGCAGCAATTTACTACCGCAACGCATGGGACGGTAGTTATTCATTACATTTTCGATACTTTGAACAAGTTCAAATACATTGACTGACAAATTTGGAATGCACAGTCGCCGACATCTCAGCTTCATACACTTATAATTAGCACACTAGTTAAATATCACTATCATATTTCATATTTTTCCGAGCACGTCTGAAATTCCAAAGCCCAGAGTCTTCTAAAACTTTTCATTTCATACCATCACTAACTTAAACTGCGCTTTTTTGGCTTGCAGTAAATGTTTTTATTAACAGAAAATCAAATATTTTCCAACAATTTTCATAGAAATGTAAGTGAGTCATTCTAAAACCTTGTAAAAGCCATCAAAATCTTCCTCTTCATGACTTCAATCCTGAGCCTTTAATCTGTTGCAGTAAGAGAAAATTTCATTGTAGGTGCAGCCCTTGTTGCAGCATTCATCATAAACACCGGTTAAGACCGTGTCTCTGTGGCGGCGAGTTTTTGCCAGCGTATTGACCTGCCCGCCGTGGATCTCGGACAGAAACGGAAACCTGGCGTAAGGAAAGACTAGCTCATCTTCTAAAGCATTGCTGCCCAGATCATCCCATTCCACTGAAAGTCGATARATTTTCTTTTTTATTAAACATCAAAAAAATCCCTCACATATGTATACTCACTTGATTTCTTGAATTTTGTATTGAAGCCATTCACGCAAATAGTGCTGAGCACCGCATCCAGTGCGGGACCGCAAACGGTCCTGCCGGTGCTTTCATGTAAGGCCACTGACAGAACAAGTAACAAAGCGCAGATTTTCAACAAAGTCATTGTTATTGTTTTTAATAAATTTGTACTAACTGTTCCAACACTTGAAGCTACGAAAGCTAACTGATGAAACTTGAGATTTCAAATAGGCTTTTATACCAGCGGTCTTACCTAAAAGCGTCCTTGTTATGCCCACACATATTTTGCATTTCAACCTGATGTGAGCGATTATGTTTATTAGGCTTCATCGACTCTTTGCATATTTATGAGCGCACACTTGATTAACGCTAATGATAACTGTAGTAAGATTGAGGCCAACTAAAAAATCCATATGTTRATTGCTCCCACACGAGTTCATATGCATATGAGTGCAGGTGCAAAGAAGTAGCATCTCATTGAAGTATTCATTTTAGGGGAGGGAGTTAACAGTTTAATAATAAAGACGTTTTAAAATTTAATTATTTTAAGATTACTAATCTTACGGGTTTTTCAGTAGGGACGCTACAAAAGTAAACCGATACTGACAGCAAACAACGCCATATTCTAACTAACCTCTTCACATGGAAAGACATACGAGAACAGTGAGTCGAAATTATTGAAATTTACTACCGAAATTTAGAGTTAGTGGCTTCGACTTTAAGAGTTACGACCTTGAAGACTGCTTCGTTGAATTAGTTTTTAGAAAATTTTGATTTTTTGAATTTTTTATTTAGTTTTTCTATAACATCGTTTATAAGTAAGTATATATTTTAACTATCATATGCATTTCAGAACGCCACATAGTCGAGTCTTTCAACTAATCAATAGAATCGTATAACAAATTCATTTAACGTGAAAGTCAGTTAGAAGATTTGAGAAATGTGTTAGCCTATTTGCAGTAGGATAATAACTCGCTGTAGGAGCAGGGCTTACGGCAGCATTCATCGTACACACCTTCACGACGACGGCGAGTTTTGGCCACTGTATCGACGTGGCCGCCATGATTCCTGCCTAAGAAAGGAAAGTTCATCATGCCGAAAGGCGACAGCTCTTCAGGCTCAGCGTTAGCTAGACCATCCCATTCAACTAAAATTTAATAAATTAGTTCATATTACAGACAACAGCTAAAATAATTTACTCACGTGATTTCTTGAACTTCGTATTAAAGCCATTTTCGCACATGATGCTGAGCGCGGCATCTATGGCAGGGCCACAAACGGCTTGCTGCGCCGAAATATGCTGCAAGCCAACAATGAAGAGCGATAGAAAGGTAACAATTTTCAGCGCACTTGAAATCATAGCGGTGGTTAATTTAGTTGATTGTATGAGTGTGCGTTAACAATTAACTCTTTTAGTTCGACACAACGTTCTATTGAAGCTGTGCAAAGGAACTGATGTTATTTGCAAAAMTCTGTTGCGCTTTTATACGCGCAAATTCGCGAAATAAAGCCCACACATATGTGGCACATATGTATGAGGTACTCATTTCAGCTGTTTTAGTCGCAAATTCAAGGACATGTCATGCATCTAAAGTATTTATATTTTGCATGTAATTACCAAGTTCTGGAAGTCAGAAGTACGCATATGCAACAGTAGGCGTAATAGATTCGTTAGACACTAACATTATATTTTATCGTCAAGGTGCGGGAAATATTTTAAGAAATATTAAGCAAGCGAGGAAGGGCTACTTACGCTATGGAAAAATAAATACAGGTATTGCCACAATTTCGTATAAAAAAGTTGCAAATCAATTTAATATTCCTTATTTGGTGTTTTAGTAATTCATTACTTGCTAAATATTCAAAAAAGTGACGGGATTTTGTTTTGGGTATATTAAGTATCAACGGGAGTTGGTAAAATCATTATACTAGAGATAAGACACCAAGGTTCAGACCGATTTCACCCAGCTGAAAACATTATTTAGTTTACGGGGCCCGGAGTAATTAATTATTGAACCGATTTCACTCACATTATGTCACCAAACCCTAGGTCCGTTAGGTTAGGCTAAGTTAGTCTGGTAGGCCAATGAGCCAGTTTTGGTCCTTTGCAATACCAGATGAATACCAGTTCAGTTACTAGGTCCAAGTCAGCCGGCGCTTGAATCGAACTTCAAAAGACTATGTGGACTCACTAGCGATACCTTCTCCAGAGTATCGTACCGTGGGATCTCAGATGCTTACAGCATAGTCTTGTCAAGCCCGGACTGGTGCTTTGCTTTAGACATTTCCTGCAGTCTTCCCCATCTGTCAGCCCAATCCTGCGAGCCACTAGACAGTGACCAGTTAGTATTCCGATCATGTTCCTATATTATCTTCTATTTATTGGCAATAGGAATTTTATATACTTSTAATGCACCGTTTTGCACATGACTTTTTAGGTTGCACCCTTGTAGCTCCTTCCATCGGGTTTTGATTTTCTTTGCCATGCTTCTGTCCAGATCATCGTATAGACAATGCATGGGTTTCCCTATGTTGATCACGTTTACACATCTAGATGTGTATAAGAGACCGTTCTAAAAGTTCCCGTTATACACAGCCAGAAATCCTCTGAACCCTTTTCATTGGCTTCCGGTGGGTAGACTTGCATACACCTTTCCACCATACTACTGTACGGCAGAGCAGAATTTCCAGTGTATGACTATTGTGCTCAAAATCAGCCTACACGCATATAAGGCATAACTTCTTCACAACGTGGCTTAGCAGTTTGCTGTCCAAGACTACCCCAAAGTAGCAGGATCAACACCATTGACTAAATACTATATTAAACTATAATACTTGTATWTACTATATAATATTATAATTACACTTCATTTTGCTAAAAACTKCTGCATAATGACCAATAATTCTGAGAAAAGTCCAACATAGCCACGGAAATCCCGATATTCCGTAGCTAGATGCTTGAGAAATTACAGTCCGATTTGGACAAGAACTTTATTTCGATCATGCAGTTGTATAACAGCTATAATCTGTAGTGCCCCTATATAGGCAGTTTCGACTTCATTGGGGAAAAAGGTCGTGTTCAAAATTTCAGATCGATATCTCAAAAACTGTAGAACATACTTGGATAAATGGACTTAACTTCTATTTATAATATGTAACGTAATGAAAATATACAAAAACATCTTGGTATTTATATGATAGAGAGAGAAGTTCCGAATAGCAGAAAGGCTGAGAGCTCAAACTCCGCAATCATCCAAATTTATTAGTTGGTGCCTTGCTACATTTTTCTAATCAATCCCGCTTGAAAAGCAAATATCTACCTTTTAGAAAGAGTAACGTATCACCAAGCACTTTCAAACTTGAGGTTGTCTAGTTTTAAATACATTTAAGATTTCATTATTTATTCCAAGGTTTTGAGCAAGAAGGGCTACAGTAGTCCGATTTGAGCAGTTTCTTGGAAGATTGTAGCGATGCTGTGGATAATCCATATCAAATCTCATGAAGAATATTCTAAAATAAAATATCTTTTCATGCAAGGGCTTTAGTTTGATCGCTCAGTTTGTGTCGCAACTATATGTTGCACTTGTTCGATATCGGCAGTTCCAACAAATGARCAGCKTCTTGATGAGAAATGGRCGTGTGTAAAAATACAGATAAACACAAATAGTCTTAGKTTTCCATATGGAACTTGCTTATTTCATTCACTTGATGACGAATGTTTTCATCCTCCGAATATTTGTAAATTTAATTTGCCCTTCCATTTTACTTTGGGAAATCTCTATTTAATTGAGACATTCGAAATCAATCGTAGACTCTTCCTCAGTTCATTAGAACCTTAAGTGCTTGGAGGAAGGAAATTTAATCCATATCAAAAYGCAATTATCTTTATTAAACGTCTCTTTAGTGAACAAAAACATTTTCATTACCATCTGATGTCCCACGCCAGCTGAAGGGAAAAGTAACTTCCAGTATTTGCTTTATGTAAATGATTCCTCTACACGTAGCTGAAAGCAATTTTCTTTGTATTCTTCACCCATTGTATGGTGTCTCTTTATAAATTTGAAATGTTATTATGCAGCAGAAATGACCTTCACGTTGTTAAGGTGCGTTGCGCAAACAACAAACAACAAAGAGGCAATGTCTCCCATGTTATTTTACTCCACCCTCTGGCAGCATTAGCTGACAGATGCCAAAGTGGCAATTTTCGGTTTTATTGGCCATTGACTATTGGCTGCGTTCACTTAGAAATCAACGTCAGCACTTTGAAAGCGTTTCAACTATGCAATGCGAAGCTTTGTGGCTCCCCTGCGCCGGCCAGCTCAGGGACGCCCCGATGTCATTGTGGCGCTTCAACATGTTCTCAACACCAAGGATTTTCTCATTCAGAATGCTTGCAATATACACTGAAAATGCTTGTTTTGAGATTTTTTACTAGTTACTGGACATTGGACAGCAACGCTTAAAGCTTATGCGAGCTTGTCCATTGAACATTGRAAAGCTGAATGACAGCATGAGAATTAGATTTGCTCAAGCAGCCGTAGCTGTAACACTGGCCATGGTAATGCCAGCACTGTCYTTCAAAATGCATATTACCTCTACTGGCATCTAACAAAATTGAAATAAAAGTGAGTGGCCGCCCCCAGTCATAAYCCATTACCTCATAAGCCGCATCAGGTGCATGCGTATGGCAGCATTTTCGGCTTCTTCCTGTTTAAGGATTTTCACAGGTTATATTGCTGAAACGCTTTTGATTGTCGGTCATTCTGGCTAATTCTAATAACGACCTGTGTGAAAGCCAGAAATCTAAAGTGTGAAATATGTGGCATTGTGGTGATTTTGAGGTCATATTCAATGTATGGGGTATATGTAGTTATGCCGAGTAGGAAAAATAAATACAACATTACACCTGGTAGACGTGAGACAACATCACTTAGCTGGGATGTCATAACGTAATTTTAATGTTGTAAATGTGTCCATATGGCAGCAATTTCCACACCCAGCTCTAAAAAGATACAATGCCGATTAAATAATAGTTTTCAAAATATATGTACTTTAATAAGTGTTTAGATTTTTGTATGGTTGAAGGTTATTGCTGACGAAAATATAAATTGAGTCGTCATATTAAAATTCACATATACATATAAATAAAATAAGTGTATAAATTTGTTTGAAATTGTTGAGATGTG